AACTAGCTTGATAATTATTTTTAATGCTGCTCCAAAGAAAAATAGGTAATAGTTTCACAACAGTTTGTCTCAACTTTTCACCACTTAAGACACTGGATTCAGAGTGAATTTTTTTTTTTTTTTTTTTTTGGTAGAACCATTTTAATAAGTAGTTTGTTCCTATTTTTAAACTTCTTAGCAAGGGAGATTTGGTCCATATGCTTCTGCTTCTTGTATACTCACTTATCAAAGTGTTATTTTTTAAAGTTATTTGATGTCTTAGAAGCTATATCTTCTCAAAATTATTTTCTTTGAACTAGAAAACCCCTATTGCCTGGACAATATAAACGGAAAAGAACTTGCACTCAATAGCTTCAATTGCATTTAACTTCAAGCTTAAGTCCCAGAAAAATCATGTAGATTCTAGAATTTAGAGTAGTCTAATAACACTGAAGTAGAAGTCAATCATTAGTGGAGTCTCTTTGATTAAATTAAATACCTTCCTTAAACACTCACAAAAGAGAAAAACAAACAAGCAAAAAACAGCCCTTTTGCCTTAACAATGTCAGGTTTAAGAAATGTTGAGTTTACAAAGGAGATAAATTAAGAGTTGACTGTTTGCTTTATCAAAGAATAACTTTCTTTCTTTTTCTTTTCTTTTTTTGCATTTCTGTTCATGCCTTTTGCCAATTTTCTAAATGAATTGCTTTTTGCTTTTAAGTTTTGAGAATTCTTTTTATATATTCTAGATTTTTTGACAGTTATGTGTTTTGCAAATATTTTCTCCTATTCTGTAGCTTGTCTCTTTATCCTCCTAGCAGGGCCACATTTTGTAGACATGAGTATACTAATTATCCTGATTTGATCCCACATATTATACACATGTATTGATATTTGATTCTGTATCCCAAGATATATATAACCAGTGGAAAAAATCTTTTTAAAGAATAACTTTCAAAAGGTTTAACTGTGGAATTCCTTTAAGTTGTTAACTCACCTAGTGAAATTATACTTTGGTCAAATCATTACTTGATAGAGAAGCTAAAAGCATAGAAGAAATAATGGAAAATACTGGGAATCACTGCCAATTAAAGAGCAATCAGAAAGACATATTAAATATGTGTAAAATTATAATGTACTTAAATGACCAAATACATCTCAATCTGAAAGACATTCAATTTACACTAAAATTTTCAAGATTATATCTGTTACCCTGAAAAGTATATCAGTGTATGTAAAAATATATGACAGGGCATATTGGGCCTGTGTCTTCTGGAAAAATAAGATTTAATCAGATCAAATGATGCATTTAAATTTTTTTAAAAGTTATCTGCTCTTTAAAAACCAACAAAAATGTGCTTAATGGAGTCTTTCAGCTTTATTTTTTCAAACCTGTAATTTAGAAAGTAAACAATAGGGAAGATACGGGAAATGAATGGAAACTATTATTACAAATACATTTAAAATATAATGGAAAAAGCTTCAGAGCATGGTATAATGATTGTAAACTTGTATTCAATTTGTATCATGTGGAGGTCAGCTTAAAAGTGAAAGGAGGGGCTGGCTGGTTAGCTCAGCTGATTGGAGCACTATTATAACACCAAGGTCAAGGGTTTGGATCTCCTTACCCGCTCGCTGCCAAAGGAAAAAAACAAAAAGTGAAAGTAACCTGCTATGGCCAGTTTCCATTTGGTAGGAAATTTCATCCTTCCCACTCATGATATTGGTGATCTTATATGATCTCTGAAAAACTTGAGGGAAAAGAATACGTAATGTGTACACTATAGAGCAATTAATAAACAGTCAAGACAAATTTAATTTATAAAACAATAAATTTTAACATGACATATGGTGTAGTGGATTCTGTTTTGTTTTGGTAGATAATGGGCTCTCAGAGTAATCTCTCAGATGAAATAGAAGAGAAAATACTAGAGAAGATACAAGCACTGAACGGAAGCTACAACAGGTATATGGAAAGTGTGATAACACAGCTCTTGAGCATGGTCTGTGACATGAAACCAGAAATCCACGTGAACTACAGAGCCACCAACTGAATGTGCATCATATTGTTCCATAAAATGTGTGTGGGTGCTGCCTAATTGTTTATGGCTTCATGTTTATATTAAAGAATTTGAAACGTAATCTTCAATTTACTGGACATCTACAGATTTCAATGTGACGTAATTCACACATGGACACTGAATTAAAACAAAACCATGGCTGTGTCTTTCCTGGTAATAGTTACGACCTTGTAATTTAACTTGGAGTAAGTCGGAAATGCAGAGGAGCAGGTTTTTTGACACTTGTAAGAAAAACATGATCATGACAGCTTTTTAGTGGGTGTGTTTTTTTCTTCTTTCTTCTTTTTATCAGTTTAGGGAATGTGCTCTCAATTGTAGTTGTTAAAAGATAATTTTTGAAGGAGGATATAATTGGGACTCTCATACAAATATAAAGTGAACACATGTCAAGCATTTTATTTAATTCATTAATCAGGGAGGAAACCAGTAAGATGTTATCGCTAGTTTAAAGAAGAATTTTAAGAACTGACAGAGAAATGATGGGTTCCATTCTCATCTGTTAAGATGGGTTTCCATCTTTCCATTTTCTATTCATTAAGAGAAATGGGGTCTAGAGCCGTTCTATCTGCTTAACCTCAACCAATCCGATATCCCTCTCAAGTAAAACTTTAATTTTAAAAAGCAAATGATAAATAAGCTGATAACATAAATGTTTGGACTTTAAAAGAAAAAATGATAACTCCCAAGAGATATAGTAAGTTAGCATGCCATTAGCTCAGCCTCCCAGTAAGAGCTGAGTTAAATTCTTAAGTACTAAGTACTTTGTAGGTGCAATGAATAAATTATCTCGGTCCTATTGTGTAAGCAGCATGAGTGTCCCCGTTTGACAAACTGGAAACAGAGGCTGATGACCTTGCCTGGAGGGCTGAGGCAACAGTGGCAGGACTGGGCTGCAAACTGGACAACGTGACTCCAGTGTCCACACTCTTCACTTCCCACCAAACTGCTTCCCGAGAAAAATTCTATATTTGCATCATCAAGAATCATGCATGCTCAAAAGTGTTTGATTTCAAATAATATATGCAGACAAATTTTAATTCCAATACAAACAAAAGTTAACTCGTAAATTTTAATTGTTACCAAACTATATAATCAATTTCAAATATAAACTGAAATGATTTTCATTGATCATTGTTTTAGACTACTAAAATCATTGTTTCCCTTTAGCAGACAAAGTTAAAATTTTACCACATACTTTTAATACCTCAGAAATAGTCAATCTTATATTCACATTAGGTGAGCAGAAGAAAATTTGAATTGCATTTGTTTCTCTTCTTTCCCAACTTCAGGGGCAAGGAAAACCAACCAAGTTAGGTTACTGGTTTTGTGTGGCAGATTTCTCCCTTTACTAGAAAGACAATTGGTTCCCCAGTTAATGAAAAGAAGGGTATGAAGCTTTCCTGAGAACACTGCCCCCAGTTTCGGGGTGCAGGGCAGGGAGTGGGGAAGTATTAAGTAAAGTTGCCTTCCCAACGTATGGCCAGGCATGGAGGACTTGCACCTCAGCACATATCTGGAGAATTCAATTACCCTGTCTTACACAGCTGATACATAAAACAATGAGAAAAATTGCACGTTTGACAAGTTATTGCCTAAGTCCATTTTCTGCAACTATAGCGGAATACTACATACTGGGTAACTTATAAACAATACAAGTTTATCNTAGTCAATCTTATATTCACATTAGGTGAGCAGAAGAAAATTTGAATTGCATTTGTTTCTCTCCTTTCCCAACTTCAGGGGCAAGGAAAACCAACCAAGTTAGGTTACTGGTTTTGTGTGGCAGATTTCTCCCTTTACTAGAAGGACAACTGGTTCCCCAGTTAATGAAAAGAAGGGTATGAAGCTTTCCTGAGAACACTGCCCCCAGTTTCTGGGTGCAGGGCAGGGAGTGGGGAAGTATTAAGTAAAGTTGCCTTCCCAACATATGGCCAGGCATGGAGGACTTGCACCTCAGCACATATCTGGAGAATTCAATTACCCTGTCTTACACAGCTGATACATAAATCAATGAGAAAAATTGCACGTTTGACAAGTTATTGCCTAAGTCTGTTTTCTGCAACTATAGCGGAATACTACATACTGGGTAACTTATAAACAATACAAGTTTATCTGGCTCACAGTTCTGGAGGCTGAGAAGTCCAAGAGCAGGGTGCCAGCATCTGGACAGAGTCACACCGTGGTGGAAGGCAAAAGTGACAACACTAGACAGAGAGAAGAAATCGGGTCAAACTCCATCCCTTTATTAGGAGCCCATTCTCGCAATAACTAACCCTCAGCCACAATAATAGCATTAATCTGTTCATGAGGACACAGCCCTCCTGACCTATTCACCTCTTAAAGGCCCTACTTCTCAGTACTGTTACAATGGCAATTAAATTTTTAACACATAAACTTTGCAGGACATATTGAAATCATAGCAATTATCGTGTGAAAAGGTAATTCTAAAACAAAGCCTTGTGATTTTCATATCCTAAGATTTGGTTTTCTGTCTAACCTCATCAAAACCATCAAGATGTCAAATTTCTGGTTGTGAAAGTTTGAATTTATTATCTGGAATATGCAAGGTAATAAATTCCTGAGTCTGCACAGGAGATAGGATGATGGTTTAGGCCTTAAACGCTATAGAAATCTATTGAAGTCAGTACAGGATTTTTCTTAGAAGTGGACACTGCTCTCTTGCTTCCTCTGGCCATGTGATCTGCTGTACCTGCCAACTGTCTGCCACGAGTAGAAGAAGCCTGAGGCCCCGTGCCAGATGCAGCTATCCCAGAATCAAGATCTAGCAATAGAAGATCATTGGCTTGAAGACAGACCCAGAATACACATTCAGCAGATAGCCCTGGTATTGGAGTTTAAAGTTACAGGTCTTGAGGTAAGTCCACGTGTGCCAGCCAGCCAGCCAGCCAGCAGAACCATGTGGTTCCACGCAGCCCTCCCACCCCACTGCCTTGGACTCAGGCAGGAGGGGAGCTCCAGGCCCTGCCTTGCTGCCCTAAACTGGCACCATGCAGGTGAGCCCGCCAGCACCAGCCAGCTAGCGGAACTGCGCAGCTCCACGTGGACCCTCATCCCACCTCAGACCCAGGGGGGAGCACCAGCCTATGGATCTGACCCACCAAGTTTGGCCCAGCAGAACTCCACACGTTAGGGGCTCATTCTACAGCCACAGAGTCTAGAATGGGAGCCAAGTTGATTTAACATAACCACCACCACACCTACTGTCAAGTAAGACAGTTCACCTCCTGCAGTAGCAACCAAGGCCACTCCACAGACAACTTCAGTGTAATAGAAGAAGCAAACCCCCAACCAAATGACCAAGCATCAGTGAAAAAACACTAGAAGTACAAACAATAAAGAAGAAATGACACCACCAAAAGGATACAGTAATGCCCCAAAGTCAGACTCCACGAAACAGGGAATCCTTGAAATGTCTGAAAAAGAATTTTGAGTAATGATCTTAAGAAAACTTGAAGAAACAAAGGAAGATTCAATTAGAGAACACAATGAAACAAGAAAAAACATCCAGAATATGAAGGAGGAAATCTACAAAGAGATTAATACCATAAAAAAGAGTATAGCAGAACTTCTAGAA